GTTTTACCCTTGCCTCTTCTTTCAGTCGCTCCCTGGTGAAGAAATCACGGCCCTGTTGTGTTCATTTCATGAGGATATTAGCTCTCTGACCCAGATTATCTTCTGAAATGTGACTTACTCACTCATATCCACCAGTGACCAGTGTCCTGTGTTTAACCAGCACAGGTTCTGCTTTTTCCCTACAGGAGGGATGACCCATAGAGCATTTCATGTAGTGTATACCTTATACTACCTGAGGATATAATTAAAAATTCTTGCTCCTCAAAGAGCTTATCCTAGAAGGAACCCCTAAGGTGAATCCATAGTTCTTATGAATAATAAACGTTCAGTTTCATACAGACATTATGCCCAGAGCTGCTTGTATCGCGTTTCCTATCATGGTTCCCAATCCAGTGGGCCAGTGGTAATCTAGTGGATTGCTACTCCCCTTTCCTCCACCCTTGTCTTCTCTGGTCTTTCTCTATCATTGCCCTCTTTGCTTCTGGGACTATTGTAGCAAGCAGAGTAAAAAGGACTTGTGTTAAAGTAGACTGTGTCACCATCTGAAGTCCCATTAGAGTTGTTTCAATTCTGCATGATCATGTGCAGAGTACCAAGTGTCTTGAGATACTACTGTTGATGTAGACTAGTGTTTCCATGTTTAATTCCTTCCTTACCTCTCCTTTAAAAAAAAAAAAAATCCTTCCAGCATATGCTGAGAGAAAGTTGTTGCTCTAGCATTTGATACTTTAAAATCTAGTCCTAAGCAGAGTCCCAGTGAGAGGTGCTATGCCTGGGCATCAGCGATCTTGTTCTCACACTCCTGGCACCAGTTGTCTTTGGCAATGGGAAGGATGGCACTGTTGGTCTGTTGGGAATTTCTCCATAATTGCAGGTCAAAGGTCCTAAAGCATGGGTGTGTTTTGTTGGCTTTGGTCTGTGGGGTGAAGGCTATTGATACTCAAACAAGGCTATTAACTTGCCCAAGTTCACTCTGCTCCACCTCTTCTCTCTGGGAATTAATTTCCCAATCTCTTAGAGACACCCCAGAGGCATCTCAGTTCAGGAGGAAGTTGACAGACAGTCACCATCCAGAAAAGAACTGGAGTGCTGGTTCTCCTACTCTTCCCCTGTGTGACTCTTGCTAAGTCACCTAGACTCTTGGGTAGCATGGTTGTTGTCATGAGATGATTAGAATGAGAGAATGTCTATGTACCTACTGTGCCTTATGGTGTCTGTAACCTACTGTGGGCTCATAGTTATTTTTTGTGTGTGTGTGTGTTTTTTTTCCCTTCCAAAGATTTTATGACTTTGTCCCTAATGCTGCTATTTATTCACTTTGCTCTTTCCTGGATCCAGACTTTTAGACATGAAACATCCCCATGATCTACTATAAGAAGTACTGGCTCATAAAACAAACAAAATATTAACAAGGCTCTGGAGGTTGCAGTTGCTGAAGCTGCAGAACCCTTACCAAACTGCTGTTTATTATTCACGAAACAGCAGTTTGGTAAACTTAGGTAGATAAAGTCCGAAGGCTCCAGCATGTTATGTTTACCCTTGTAAGAAAGTAATCAAAGTAGCGAGTCCTCTTGTGGAGCATTAGAGTTGGCTTGCATTTCAGGATAAGCCTCATGCAGAGAGCTCATTTTGTCATTTATATTAACGATAAGTAGAAGAGAAAGAGAATGTTTTTTGAAGTTACTTTAGTTTTCCCATGGTTTACAAGAGGACAGAGATTTGGAGAAAGGAAGCAAATATTTTGGCTAATGTGGTTAAACAGTCTTTTTTGTTGACAAGTTTAAATAATCAGGTGTTCTGCATTTTGCCACTTCCTTTCTTACTTTATAAAATACTCTTTTTCATGAGCTCAGCACAATACGCTGAACTCCTCAAGGAAAGCCTGTAGACATTAAAAACTATTTAGAGACAAAAAGATAAGAATCCTGGAAAGCCTCAGTCTGTTTATAGTATTTCTTTTTGGCTGGACTCTAACATTTTAACACTGGTCTTTCTGACAACTAGGAGGAGCAGAGTCACATGACTATTTAGGGCCCCGAGAGAAGATGACTACTGCCTCCTAAGCCCCTTATGTTGTGATTTGGTCTTTTAAAATGAGACCTCTGTGTTATAGCTGGAAGCATTATCATTTGAATTTGATGAGTGAGCTTGGGGTGTAGAAATCTTGAGAATGCTTGTACTGTGCATGCACCAAGGTAGTCTGCAGGATTCTGTGGCATTAACATAGTGAACATTTTCTAGGAGGAACTTCTGAGAAAGTGGTTTTTGCTGATGAGTTGACATTGATGGGTGTACCAAATGTGTCAGATCCTTGCCCTGATCATGGAAGCCTTTGTACTTGGCCTGCAAGACTAGTATATGCAAGGAACAACCAGTAGAAAGAAAGCAGCCTACCACCGAGTTCATTTATGCACTCCTAAGTATTTACAAATAAGGCATGCTTGTAAGAACTGACATTTTCAAGGAAAGTAGCATTGCAGTTGGGGATTTAAGGGTGAAAAATGAAGTTGCTAGGTGAAGTCGTTAAGAGGTATGGAGGTAAAGCTGGCTGGTTTAGAACCAAAAGGATTTCCCAAGGAGAACTTTTTACATGGAAGCACTAAATGGTTTCTTCAATCTCTTGTTTTATATACAGTGAACTCTGGGAGATACAAGGCCAAGAGACTTTTTAAAAAGTCAACTGAAGCTGGGCTCAATGGTGTATACCTGTAATCCTAGTGGCTCTGGAAGCTGAGGCAGAAGGATCACTAGTTCAAAGCTAGCCTCAGCAAAAGTGAAGCACTGAGCAACTCAGTGAGACTCTGTCTCTATATAAAATATAAAACAGGGCTGGGGATGTGGCTCAGTGGTGGAGTGCCCCTGAGTTTAATCCCTGGTCCACCCACCCCCCAAAAAAGTCAACTGAGGCAGAGTAAAACTTTTAAGAGTTTGAGCAAACAATAATTCATGAATTGGGCAGCTGCAAACCAGAAGTGGCTCCATAACTTTACCAAGAGAATGCCAGGGAAAAGATTTTACTGAACAAAAGAAAATATTTGATGGATTTGGGTTAGGCAGTTGCCTTATAAGTTTGTTGGCTGCTCTTGATTGGTTGGACTTTAGGACTGTTTTGAGGGGTTTTGTTTGTTTGTTTTGTTTTGTTTTAATGTAGGCATTTACAAGAAATAGTTCAAGTTTTGCTTATGTTTGCAAATTGAGGAAGGTTTTTGTCACTTAGGAAGGCTAACTGACTTTATCTGCTGATTCCTTGGGCCCACTCTCCTTTTTAATTTCATTAACATGGCCGATGGTATGAAGAAACGCATTGTGAAACCTCAATTATGAGAAGCCTTGAAAGGTATTGGGGAGCAAAACTGATCAAACTGTGTTACAGACATGTATGAATATGCCACAGTGAAATTTACCACTCTGTATAATTAGTATTCTTACACACACACACACACAGACACACACACACACACACACACACACACACACACACCGGTATGAGGGTATGAAGTATAGCACTCAGATGCTAGAATGTCCTTTGAGAAACAAAGTGCGTGGTGAGTCTAGGTAGTGAACCCTGTGCTTAACTTGCAGTGTTGCCTGAGAATTCGGCATTGTTATCCTTGGTCTTGAAGAAATCATTCAGCATGTTTACATTTTTGATTTCTAAGTTGCTTCACTCCATCTCCCATCTTCAGTATATACATCTATGCTAACGACTTTGTTAATGCTAGGGGAAAAGCAGTTTTTATCCTTCCTGAGGCTATTTGCGTTTTTACTGGGTCAAAGCTTCAAGACAAAGAGAGTTTCAGACTTCATCCACTTCAAGTTTTAGGACTGGCAGAGGATCCTTCCTTGGGTTTGTAGTAAAAGGGTGTGTGAGTGCAACAGATTGGAAAAGGGAACCTGAAGTCTAAGGAGAAGATGTTGTGTGCCTGGCCTCCAATTTGCAATTCTCCTGCCTCAACCTCCCAAGTAGTGGGGATTACAGGCAGACATCATCATGCCCTGCCCAAAGGAGGGATTTTAAAGGAGTACTTTGTGACTGTGTGGTCCCAAGATATGAAAAGAGAGAGTTTTTTTGGTTTTTTTTTTTTTTTAGTTGCTTAAAGTTGCTGTTACTCAATCTACCTGTTTGAGAAACTATCCTGACAGAACTAAGAAACTGAGAATCCTGTTTTTGATTATAGGGACATTCAACTATCCCTTTTAAAGTACATGCTTGGAAACCATTTTCTTCATTTAACCTGTTTATAAGTGACTTAAGTGAGTGGCTGCACTGTTTCTAGCATTTTCTTCCTAAGGCCTTCTGTTCAACTTTTCTTCCTATTTCTCTGTCTGTGGCAATGAGAGGAAAAGTGAGTCTCTGTGAATTATGTGCTCAGGTTTCTTACAAAAGGACCCAAAGAATTCCTGTCTTTCCTTACTCTACCCTTACCTCCACTGAAATTTGCCATTTCAAAAAAAAATTTTAAGAAAATATTTACTTGAAAAATATACATATAAGCCTTTATTTGGAAAGCCAAGCTTCCAACAATCTCACATTTTGCACAGAACCTGCTCCTTCGTTATGCTGAGATAACAGGCTGACTTTGCCTCCCGAAGGCATTCTTCCTTGACAGACTGGTTTGCTGTGATCTGTATAAACACTACTGCCTGCTGACTAGTAGTCTGTATTTATGAGGCCCTTGGAAAACACTGTGAGCTGCAGAGAGTGACCGTGAATAGCAAACTTAATTTGGCTTAATGTGTTTTGGCTTGCTTGACCTCACCAGAATAAAAATGTGCCTGCTTAAATTATTGCATTGGAAGTTTAAAAAAAGAATTCTAGAGACACTCATCTCATTGGAAGAATCTTGGGATCATTTTAGCAAAGGTTTAAGTCCATGTTTAATGTCAGATGACTTGAGAAATGTTTAACATAGAACTTTAATCGCAGATTAGGTTATTGTGGTTTCTGAATTTTAAGTCTGAATTACTATTTTTTTCTTTTGCTACTTTTTTTTTTCTAGACAATTGGCTGGCAACGACCTTTCTTTTATCCACCCAAAGGCCTTGTCTGGGTTGAAAGAACTCAAAGTTCTGTAAGTAATGCAATTTTAGAGTTTCACAGCTGGCTGTGTATTTTCTTTCTGCATAGTCAACATGCTTGGAGCTAGGTTAAGCACAGTTTCTTTTAGTTCAGGATTAAAAGATTTAAGGAGTGGCCAATGGTTAGTATGGGAGGCTAGAGATTGATTTAGGCAAGTTTAAGTCTAGATAACGAAAGTTAAAACTCCAAACAATAGGTATTCTGACCTCTAGTATATTACAGTTGAATATTTGACTTTATGTGTTGCTAACGTATTGAATCAAAATTTATGGATAGGCTTCATTTCTACTTACTTTATAGCTACAAGATTTCTGAATTAGCCAACCTTAAAGGGAAAGGGATTTATAAGAACTTCAAACGTTAAAATCATTTTAGAGCTGAAGGAGTTGAGATACCCATGATTTATTGAGCCAGGAAGGGATTAGGAAATAAATTCCTTACAGTGGTCAGTAGCTTGGAGTATGGCAGATTGAGAAACAGGTGAACTGACTACCCCCACTTCTCCCATTTTCCCTACAACCTTGCTGGTCAAGGTCACCAGGCCCCTGGTCCTGTGAGCTAGGTGGGTCCTTTCTCTCTTCTCCTCTGTGGTTATGATTCATGTCAGGCAGTCATTTTATTCATGTGACAGGAATGGTTTTAGGCAAAAATTACAAAGGATTTTGTTTTCAGTATGGATAAATGCCTCTGATCTCCAGGCCCTGATTAAGGCTGTATTTCTGCCCGACCCTAAGGCACTGATAACATCTTTGGTAGTCCCTGTATCAGGTTTTGCTCCTCTCCTGGCAAAATAGGCTTTTCCTAATGCTCCTGTTTCTGGGTTCTGCTTTATTCCAGTTTGAAAGGCATTAGGGATACCATTGGGTTTGCTTATTACACCTCCCAATTAACTTCTTATACCTCCCAATTAACATTAACCATACCTAGGATGATGAACATTAACTAGGGTGCCTTTATTATCAGAAAGGAAAAAAACAAAACAAAACCCTGGAAATGTGGATTACCCTGCAGGACTACGTTAGGAGGTGGCTTGGGATAGCAGCATTAAGTATCATTTCTGGCTTTACAACAAATGCTTCTTGAAATTTTGCACTTCTCTTATACTGGGTGCTTTCTGCCTCCACCCTGCTCCATTTGGTGCCGTTGGAAATATTTTTGAGAAAAAAAAGGCTCCAATTTTTCTCATCACTAACTAAAGATTTTCTTCCAGAACTCTCCAGAATAACCAGTTGAAAACAGTACCTAGTGAAGCCATTCGAGGACTGAGTGCTTTGCAGTCTTTGTAAGTAATATTTTGGTTTTCTGCATTCCTGGATTATTAGGAAACCACTCTGGTTGTTAAATGTGTGAAGAATTGGAATCCCAAGGAAAGGGGAGATTTATCCTCTCCTCTAGGATAAAAATGGGTATGACCAGTTGCTGTTATGATGTTTTTATAACATCCTTGGTGAGGGAAAAAGGAGGTGGTGTGGTTTACCTCCTTTCTTCTCACAGAGGCTGAGAGAAAGCTGCTGGGTGTCCTTCCATGAACTGTGTGCATGGCTAGTGGTCGCATCTCTTTGGAACCAGAATTAAGTGTGTCTAGTGTTTTGTACCCTGATAGTCACAGTGACATTTCTGTTCCAGGTGGTAATGATCATCAGAACAAATTAATCATAGTTCCTTCCTGTGAACATACCAAATCCATGTTGGTGTCACTTAATTGCCTGAGCTGCCTCCTTTCCAGGTTTTTCTTTTTTGAAAAAAAAAAAAAGTTGAGTGTTTATGTGGCATGTTCTAGGTTTTAAGTCTTGTTTCTCCTTGTACAGGTACAAATTTTAAAAGCGTTTTCAAATAGCACTTTGTTATTTTTTTCATTCTTTATACATAAAACATTTATTTTTTTATATAAATTGTAAGTGCTTCTCTTGCATGACCAGTAATGAGCAGATGACTATAAGGAGAACTTTAAATAACTTGTCCAGCATCACATAGCTTTTAGGGATGGAGTAGGGGTTCAAAACCAGATAAACCTGTTTCAGAATTCTAATTAATATGAACTTTTGAGATATTCTAGTAGCTTATGGGAGGTGAATATGAAAATAAAAATATGTACTAATAAAATATATGTTGTAAAAGTTAAACTTTAAATAGTATCTGTCATAAACAAGGAATATCCAAGGTTTTGGCCATGTAATTTCTAGTTCAAATAGAAGTTTAAGATAGAGTATATTAAGTAGTTCACTTTACAAAAAAAAGGCAAGAGGATAAGTTCCAAATGGACTCTTAAAGTGAATTTCTTTACAGAATAATTATTTTGCTGAGTCTATGCTCTCTTTTACCTTAGGCAGATATACAGAGAGGGAGCTATATGATCTCCCACAGACCTGAATTTAAGCATTTTAAATAGTTTTTGTTTTCCTTTGCTTTTAAAAATTCACTGGGGGTTGGAGTACTGAGGTTTGAACTCAGGGTCACACAACCACTGAACCACATCCCCAGCCATCCGCCCCCCACCCCACACACTTTTTTTTAAAAAATTTTATTTATAGAGGAACTTTGCCATTGCTGAGACTGGCTTTGAATGTGTAATCCTCCTGCCTCAGCCTCCCAGGCTGCTGGGATTATGGCGTGTACCACTGTGCCTGGCTCCTTAAATTCATTTTATTTGAAACCTTTGCATGGAATTATAATTTCCCAATACTTAAATGATCCAATTCTCAGTATTTGATCTAATTTGAAAGCAAAAATAGAACTAAAATCTCATTTTCCATTTTGGAACAGAAGAATTACCAAAACAAAACCAAAAAAATCCCACTGAAACTGAAAACATACAAATAGATTCTAATTAATGACCAGTAAGTATATTAAAATGTATGTGACATTTATTAATAATATAGATGATTTAAAGTGTTATTTTTCCACAGAAAACATAGGTTTCCCCATTTAAAACAACATTTTAAAAAAGCATAATGTGCTCATCATTTATTGAGTGGCTTGCTTAGTTTAAATTATCTCCTTTCCAGCCAGTGGTACATGCCTGTAATCCCAGTGCCTTAGGAGGCTGAGGCAGGACAATCAAAGTTCAAGGCCAACTTTAGCAACTTAGCAAGATCCTAGTACCCCAAAATAAAATAATCTCCAAAATTGCGATGGAGGTAAGGAGTGGACTCAAAACAAACTTTTTGTTATTAAAGGCACCAGTCTGTTTTCATGTGTGGTAGAAACTGAAGGAGCTACTGCTATGTGTCAGTACTATTTTATATAAGAAGGAAGTGATCGTGGACTTGTTAGCCTAGTGGTCACAGTGGTCAAGTTAGATATTATTGAAATTCTCTTGTGGTGTAAAACCATCTTATCAGCACTTGAGTCAGTTTGAAAATCTGATCTTCAGACCTGAATTACATGAAAGATTTCCTTGTGGTTTTGAATAGTGCTTAAAAAGAACAAAGTTCATTAGGGATTGAAATCGAACAGAAGTGGTTTGATACAAGCTATGTGCTTGTGATTTCTATAAAATCTGATAGTGAATTGTTGGTATTAATAAAAAGATAGCATAACAGCTATACTAAAGCCACATAGCTATAGAATTACCTGAACATGATATTAAAATGACACATAAGAATTAGTTCCACCAGAAGTTTTTCTTTATATTAGATCACATTTATATTGAATATTAAAGCATCTCAAAGATTAAATTTCTTGTATTTTCCTTAATAATTTTAAAATGTTTTAAACTATATTTAAATTATTGTTAAGTTAGAAGTAGAGAGAAAAAGAAACCTTTGATTACACAGGATTTATTGATAACATAGACTTTCAACCTAAATATATGCATATAGGATTTTTTTACTGTAATTTCATCTGAGACAAGATTTTTTTTAATGATTTTTTTAGTTGTTGATAGACCTTTATTTATTTATACATGGTACTGGGAATTGAACCCAATGTCTCACATATGCCAGGCAAGTGTGCTACCACTGAGCCACAGCCACAGCCCAAGACAAGATTTTTTTTTTAAATGTTTGTTTGAAATGTAAAATAGGCTTTTGAGAATAGGGAATAGGAACACATTTTCCAGATAAAAATAAGTCAGGGTTAATACCATGTCATCCTTCTCATAATAAAATTGTACTTAAAAGTAATAGTTGTCTCTTACTGTATAGAGTGTGAGTAGTAGAATACACTAAAAAAGCTCCTGTAATATCTCCAGTTTATGAGATATAATGCTATTTAGCACCTTCTAAAGGAATTGATTATAATATTATTTTGGTCTGTTAGGATGAATATTAATAGTGCAGGTCATTGGTACCAAGCCAGGATTCCAAGACAGTTTTTCTCTGAAGCATTGATCTCAGTGTAAACATGGGCTCTTAAATTTATGGGTGTGTCTCCAATGCCCACATGTGAATTGAAGTGCATGTATTAACCTTTTGAATCATTTCCACAAATCCTTTTTCTTATTTAAGTTTTTCCATCATTTTTTATTTTAACTTATGTGCAAGTTTACAGTTTGGGAAAATTTTTGATACATGGAAAACTGTGTCTTTTTCTTATTGTTGTGTTATTATTTTGTATAGAAAATAGTGTCATCTCAGCTGGATGTGGTGGTACACACCTGTAATCCCAACCACTCTGGAGGCTGAGGCAGGAGGATCTTGGGTTCAAAGCCAGCCTTGGCAATTTAGTGAGGCCCTAACCAATTTAGTGGGACCCTGTCTCTAAATAAAATAGAAATAGGGCTGGGGATATGGCTCAGGGGGCAAGTGCCCCTGAGTTCAATCTCTAGTAACCTCTTCCCCCCACCCAAAATAGTGTCATCTCTATCTTTGCTCAAAAATTCACTTCATTATCTTATTATAAGTTAAAGCTATCCCTTTTCTTTGATGGTATGGCACAGAATTCACAGGAAGCATAGTGTATATAATACTGGATTTATGTTAGAAAGGTATGGACAACTTTCTTTATTAGAGTGTTTTACCATATCTTAATAAAACACTTTTATAGAAAAGACTTAATTTCTTGGACTTAATGTATGTATTTTGGGGTACTTTGCTTATTGTTTTATTGATAGGACTATATATGTGTGTGTGTGTGTGTGTGTGTGTGTATGTGTGTGGTGTGTATATACATATATGTATTATCATCAATATGATTAAAATAAGCAATTTAAACTTTTAAACTGCTATAACACTAAAAAATTGTAATTAAAAGACAGTCCAATCCCCTTGCCTGACCTATAAGGACCTGCATAATCTGGAACCTACTTGTGTCCCCAGCACTGTCCCACCAGGCTCTCTACTCCCTTGTTCCTGCCTCTAATCTCTCTGACCTGGGAGTTACTGGATCTCACCAAGCTGGTTTCTGCCTTTGCCTTTTACCTAATATTCTCCATGCCAGTTCCTGCTTCCACTTGTTTTTGTGTGTTTTTTAGGTCTCTTAAAGATGCTTTTCCTGACAAAGTACTTTTATTTTTTTAAGTTGTAGATGAACCAAGTGTCTCACATGTGCTAGGCAAGTACTCTGCCACTGAGCCACAACCCTAGTCTGACAAAGTACATTTTAAGTAGCTTCTCTCCCCATTAGCATCCACCCATCTTTATCTCTGCTCCCTGTTTATTTCATGGCACTTGGTAAACACTCCTTGTTGGTCTCATGGGGACAGGCCTCTGGCCTATGTGTTCACCATTTTATCCTGTGTGTCTAACAAGATGCTCAATTTAAATATGTTGAGTTGCAGATAATCAAATTAACTACAAGTATAATTTAGTTACATTATATGGTTAATTTGTGTGATTATATGTTTAGTGTCTCTTCTTAAGAATGGAAGCTGCCAGGAGGTTGCAAATTATATCAGTGTGTTTGAACACATTCCTATCTATTCATTAAAGCGTATCTCCTAAACAACTCTGTAACCATTACTTTGCCAGTCTGTTATATAGAGGATACGGGTTCCTTTTCAGGGCTAAGTTCTAGAAAGCCCAAGGAATATACCAGTCTAAAAATCTTTGTTGCTAGACAGATTCTTAAGGCAGCTACTCAGTTTCCTGTGCCCCCCCACCCCGCTTCTAGTGCTCTTTAGTTCTCTTGACTCTATCAGAAGGAAAGTGTCTTTCAGATACTCACCAGGATCAGTGATTACTAATTCCTGCTACTTCCTACCTCTGGGAGAGAGAATGAATCTGGGGTTTAGGGCAGTAGTAGGGTGCAGGATCCCAGAATTGACCACAGGAAAAAGGGACAATTATGGCAGGAAGTGAAGTTGGAGTAGGATGACAATAGGAGACACAAAAAAACTCTCTAAAACTTGGAATTTACAATTTCAGTTGCCAGTCTCCATCTTTTTAGAAATATACTGTCAGTTTGAGTTTTTATCAGTTTTTTCTGTTCTCTAATTTTGACAGAAAAATTTAAAGCTGTCAAGCATGAATGTAAGTGATGAACATCAACAAGGGATTTGTGAGGAAAGTTGTGATCTGCCTGGCACAGACTGTCCCTCATCATATTAATATTAATATCAGATTGTTTTTGTGTTGAAAAGTGATTATTCCACCAATTATAGCTGGTTGTGCCAACAACACCACTTAGGACCTACTTTCCAGAAATTTGCAGATGGGGACTTAATTTTAAGTATGAGTAATCCTATTAGTAAGGTGTTCCTTAATTCCAAAATTTTTGGAAAAACTGAAGTTTTAAAGTCATAGTAACATCAATTAGAGGAGCTGCTTAATTTTTTCCTGTGGACAATTTGACCTTTTTTAAAGTAACTGTTAATTTTGGCAAACTAATTTTTCAAAAGGATTTAGTGCTAAGAGAAGAAGAGAAGTTGCTTTGCTAAAATGTGACACATTTTTAACTTGTCTGGTGGTAATAAGTAAGGGTAATAGAGAATCTGTTGAGGTGGTTTATTGCTATTTAAAAAATTATAAATATTTTCTAATTTTTCCCCTTTGATCCCAAATCAGAGTAGCAACTAAACTTTATAATATTATTTACAATGTAACATTGAATGTAAAGTAACTTATTTGCTAGCTTAGTTTTTATTCTTGGTTTCCTGTATCTTGATATTGTATACTCTGAAATTCAAGTTCCAACTTGAGCATGTGAGAGTTTTCTTTCTTTCTTTTTCAAAGTATATCTTTCTCTTTTAAAAAGTGACTTCTTAGCCAAAGAGAATTGAAACATTTCCATTTGGATACATCACTCTCTCACCAAGAAAGGGAAAGAACTGACTTTTATACATGGTCTTGGAAAAGGTATCAGATTCTCTAGAGGTCTTCTAGTGACAGTGAAGAAGTAAGGGATTTTATGTCTTTGGTCATTTTGATTACTCCTTTTCATTTTGAAAGCTCTGAGAATTGTCTGAATCAGATCAACTCCATTTCACTAGAATTTGTTATTGAACGTGGTGGTTGTTTGTTTCTATCAGGCGTTTAGATGCCAACCATATTACCTCAGTCCCCGAGGACAGTTTTGAAGGACTTGTTCAGTTACGGCATCTGTGGCTAGATGACAACAGCTTGACAGAGGTACCCGTGCGTCCCCTCAGCAACCTGCCCACCCTGCAGGCGCTGACCTTGGCCCTCAACAGAATCTCCAGCATCCCTGACTTTGCCTTTACCAACCTGTCAAGCTTGGTGGTTCTGTAAGTATTCATCCTTTTTTTTTTTTTTTGTAGTTGTAAATGGACATAATGCTTTTATTTTATTTGTTTATTTTCATGTGGTGCCAAGAATTGAACCCAGTGCCTCACACATGCTGGGCAAATGCTCTGCCATTGAGCTGTAGCCCCAGCCCTGTTCATTCCTTTTAATACCATATGTTTTGTTAATTTCAAAACAAATTTCTTGTGAAAAGTTATTTTGAAAGTATTCACAGATTCTGCTTCTGAATAGTCAGTGTTTGGACCAGCTGCTGTTTTGTTAAAAGGTGATGACTTTCTGAA